TTCTGTCCAAAGGCAGGCATGGACAAAGCACGACTTCAAGTGTCTTGGGTGGGTGGAGACTAACGACAGCGGAGATGAGCTAGGAACGAGAAGAGAATGCTGGCAACGAATTCAAGCAGGTGATGCTGGGTATTGCCTCGTGATGAATGCTACTTCAGGTCACGTATACCAAATTATGCAGACGACGAGTCTTTCCCTCAAAGACGACACTCGATTTACCTGTGAGTTGGCAAATGCTTTCTCTTCGTTTCGATTCCATGCGAAGACCTATCGTCACGATCCACCGATGGCTCTTGACTTTTTCAGTCCGGACGGAATCGTTATGGCGGTGTACGAAGGCGTACTCCCCAGTGCATTTGCAAGTATTCATCGTCTACGTGATGTTGGGTGTATCCTTCCAATCGAAATATGGTTTCGTCACGAAGAACTACATCTGGAGAACCCAGTGTTATTGCTATTGATCAAAACGTATGGACCCATATACGTAAGACAAATCTTCGACGAGCGCATCTATGGCTTCAACGTAAAAGTACACGCTCTGTATTATTCTCACTTCACTCGCGTTTTGCTGCTGGACGCCGATAATTTTGCTTTGCGAGATCCCACCCCATTATTTGCCTCCGAAGCGATGAAGAAATATGGAGCCATCTTTTGGCCTGACTTTTGGCACCCTGGAAATTCAATTTTTAATCTGCATGCTCAGAGCTTAGTATGGGAGCTTTTGGACATCGAGTACGTGGATATGTTGGAACAGGAAAGTGGTCAATTGTTGGTGGATCGAGCTAGAAGCAGACCAATGCTTGATCAGCTCATGTTCTACGCGACACATAAGCCCAATTTATTCACGAAATTAAAACTTGTGTGGGGAGATAAAGACCTCTTTCGCTTGTCGTGGCTTCAGTTGCGAAAACCATTTCACTATAATGACCGCCGCATGCCTGGAACTCTGGGTGTCGTGAATATCGATCGTCAACGCTATTGCGGAGTCACAATGGTGCAGTATGATCTAAGTGGTGAAAACATGCT